ATATATATAAAAAGAGAGAGAGAGAGATTTTATCTATTTAATTTTTTATTGTTTTTTCATATTTTTCAAATATTTATACACACATGGCTCAGGTCCAATGTGCTTGTTACTACATTTTTTTCCCAGGACTTACCACAGCCGCGGTAATTTTCTTGAGCGAAATGCTGCCCATATAATAACCAAAAGTTTTTATTGTCCTGTCACGTTTATTTCTAATTTACATAAAAGTGTATCGTATAGGAAAGTTCCCGTTCTTTTTCACATATGTTCACAGTACCACAATACGATTATATCATACAATATCTTATAAACAGTATATCTATCTATCTATGCCTCATATATATATATATATATATATGTGTGTGAGTGTCTGTGTTATAATTTTCTATGTATTTCACCAGTCATTTCTCATTCTTCCACTGTGAATATTATTTTCTCGTATTTTCTGGCCTTTTCTCGCCTTCCTTCCCAAATCTTTCATTGTGCTTACTTATTTATATTATTCCTACTAGAATGTCTCACATTTTAAAGCATTTATCCATTGCCACTCGCACAGTATTTTTCACCTCGTCCCTCATTCTCATTCGCCATTTCCTGTTGCCGCCCGCTCCGCCATTCCCTACAGAAAATGCATGCAGGCCTGAAGATATAAACTGCATATATAAAACACTAACTGCTAAGTAGAAAATCTCAGTCCAGCCCCATTAGGAGTGACACCCAAAAAGAAGCAAATTCAATCAGCTCTCAGCAACGCTGCAATAAAAGTTCATTGTTTCTGGACTCTGACCAAATTATGATCACCCCTCTCTCCCCAAAGGCCTGCCAGGAGTTTTTGGTCTAAATGCCGGAATCGACAGTATGGACCCAGTCCACAAAAACCATTAGAGATGTCAATCTCTTCCCCTCTACCAAAGAAGGAAAAAGAGAAAATATCCACTTGTTTATTCGATCTAATCTCATTGTTTGTCCGGATGCGGAATGGCGTCTGCAAATTGACGCATGCGCATAACAATAATTTTGTTCTTGGTCCTGATAGTCCTAGGAATGCTGAGCGGATTATTATTTTGTCCTCGTTGCGTGTTCACACCAAATGTATATGGCAACCCTTGTAAATCATAATGCCGTCTGTTGCGGGATTGGTTAAATTGTTCTAATTTTTTTTTATATTGTAAAAATACAACACGACCTTTGACCAAGTTTTGCGCCGACCGGCCAATGATCACCTCATTCCGATTCTCGTTCGCGTCGGTGTCCATCGAAGGCTTGGAAAGAGAGTGCGATACATGCTTACAAAATAGCAAGAGAAAAAGAACAACAACAACAAAAAGGCACGTCGATAAATAAGAACGCCAACACTGTTTCTTTACACTATATGCAGGTGAGTTTTTCAGGGTTTCGTCTGCTCGTTCGAATAGGTAGGGAGGTGATACTGGAGACAACTTATGCTATATCAGCTCTTCCTGCTACCACCTCATCAGACATCTAATCATACCGATGTTGTGGCTTGGCAATATGAATGGAGGACTCAGAAACATGACACAGACAAGTCCGTCTTCCACCAAGGATATGACTGTTAAAATAGACCAGCACCCGCACATAATCTATTTCCGATCTTGTTGCTGATTGGTCTTCAAACATTCCTTTACCTCAAAAAAATGGCACTGAAAAAGTAAAGCGTGGGCGCATGTAAACATTCTGGAATGGCGCTACAGAATTCCAAACAAAGAACTGTACAAAATAACAGAAACCACATCACCTTAAGATTATCAACAGCAACAACAAACTAAGATGGTTAGCACATGTAACTCTAAGAGAAAGTAATGCTGTAATCAAGATGTTACCTTCCACACTACTTTGAACATAAGGTAAGGAAAGAAACGCCCATCATTACTGGAAAGAGCTATAACAGCTACTGGATATGAGAAACCTATTTTCCTGAAACATTTCTTCAGATAAAGATTTTTTTTAATCTCCACCAACAGTAGTTCAAACTGCTTGGTCAATAAATGCTGAATTTTTCCTTATAAAGAAACAGCTAATATTACAGTTACTATTACTCTTTTCATATCCGTAGTTCACACCGTAGTTAGCCATTTTTCTGACGACCGTACCTTCTGTTTGACTACAGTTAATAGTCCATTTCTCCCTTTCCTTTAGTACATTGTCTAGAACAGTGTTTTATAACCTGGGTGATATCACCACCCGGTGCACGATTTCAGCTGTTGGGAAGGCGATGAGCAATTGAACGGAAAATGGTGACCGATTGTAAATTTTGATGGGCAATATAGGATTTTAAGTATTTAAAGGATTTTTCAACATTTGCTACCTGAAAAATATATTCAATGGAGATATACGAGGAACCTATATTGAAAAAAACAAACAAACAAAAATACAGGTGGCTAAATTCCAAACAAGAAATAAATATATAATATATATATATAAAAGGCCGGATGTGTGTGTGTGTGTGTGTGTGTGTGTGTGTGTGTGTGTGTGTGTGTGTGTGTGTGTGTGTGTGTGTGTTAGCAGGAAGGACAAGAACGACATTGAATTTCCCAACTGCCATCGATAGTGGAAATAATCGTTTTTTTCATGCTTCTACGGCAGTTTTCATGTAGTTTGCAGCCATTTTCTACTGGCCAGAGTGAGACCCTATAGCTGGCTGCCACGAACAGGCAGGAAGATTCTATTGCGCAGCGTGAGAGCCAACAGCTGACTGACACGAATGTTAACTAGCATGCAAAAACATCGATAGCTGCATTCGTCACAAGTGGGAAAAATATAAATCTGCATAGCACTTTACTCCAATTGGCTCATTCGCTTGCTTAAACTCAACGTTGATTCTGATTCCTCAGAACTGGGTTTGGGTGTGTAAAAGTATTTGTTGTTAACATTCTTTTTTCATTCGGTTTTTCCAGTTACGAGTCCTTTTTTAAAGCTGATCGTTTTGTGTTCATTTTGTTTAGTTCTTTTTTCGTAACAGATTTAATGTTTAGTATGGAGCTTAGAAAAAATTCGCAGTGTGAGATAGGCAAGAAGTAAGGCATTTAACATCAGCACGGCAAAGGGCACTCCTTTAAAGGCAAGGAAGGGCAAAAATATTTTAAGTCAAGTGATAGCGATTGCTGTATGAGTCGTACGATTTTTGAATCAAGCACGGGCAACGGCGGGCCATGCTGCTAGTATTTAGATATAAATATATTCATAAATACTAATTTCTTAATAAACGTGTTTTATCAGAAAGTTTTATAAAATTCACCCGAAAACAGTACTTGCTGCTCGGTCAGTTTATGCTAAATGTTTCCTTATAGGGAAACATATAATAATACCATTACCACAATTACTCTTCAGTTACAGCGGATGCCGTTTAGAAGACCAAACTTCAAAAGGTACTATCTGTTGGTCTATCAAATAAAAATACTTGAGACCGAGATAAAACCAGATCTCCCATTAATAATAATAACGTTCTTCAGAAGAGAACAAGACATCTTTCAACCAGTAAATTACGGGAGGATAAAACATTTAAGGAAATTAGCGTGTGTGAGTAAATATTAAAAAGAAAAGCTTTAATCTCAAAGAAAGAAAATTAAATATGCAAAGACTTATTTTCACTATTTCAAATGATATGATGAAATTATATGTTAATAAATACAAATGATTTAACTAATACCTTGATGAGCGGATTATATTTGCTTAACCTGGAGTATATGTATTATTATCTTGATAGATTAATTACGACTCAGTAGTGAGTTCGATCTTCAATGGGTGTCCCATACTTTAGGCCTTGTGCCACATCTAAATACCCCAAATATTATCTATAGAATAAAATAATAAACAACCTATTTCAAACAGTATGATGGTTGACTACAACCGAAAGCGCTCATCAAAAGACGAGATGCGACACCATGACCAATAATATTGTAGATACTTCTTTGGACTTTGTCAAGAATAGCAGATACACAGTTGAATGGTGTATTTATAAAGGTGCAAGGTGAAATATAATTGTTTAGCGCTGTATACTGATGGAAAGAAAAAAAAAGTTCTCGAAGATGATTAAAACAGAGCAGTTTTGTTTTCGAGCTGTTAAAATTAACAAGCAATGGAAACTGCTTCTTGCAGAACGGTTCCCCACTAAACTCTGCTTGCAACTTACATTTATTTTTTCTATGTGCCGTGTCAGGATGTAAGCAACAATGTCTCTCCAATTTCTATCCCTGGTAGACCTTAGCAACATTTGTCCATTTGCCATGTCTCACACCCGCTGTTCTGATATTCATTCATACAAGCTCGTCAATTACTGGAACCTTGGATTTTCTCTGCCCTTTTCCACTTCGATATGTCCTCTCATTGTCAAATGCTCCAAGCGTTCCTCATCATGTCTCCAAGTTTCCATTTTCCTAAAGAATTATTCTTTTGCTTCTATCCTTCGTTTATGGTATTCACAGGATTATTTTTAAACAATATTGCTAACTCATTGACATTTAGAATTCCATCCGTCCTTGTATGGAATATTGCTATCATATATGGTCTGGTGGTTTGTACGTCCAGAGACGAATATGCAGTGCGATAGGTTCTGATCTGGCATCTAGTCTACAATCGCTATTCTACAGACGTGCCGTGGTCTCCCTCTGTCTCTTCTACAAGTATTTTCCCGGCAACTGTTCCGACGAGCTACTTTCGCTGATTCCCGGACTGCATGAATTTAAGCGAACTACCAGGTTGGTACCTCGGTTCCACACTTTCACTGTCAAATGTAACCGTCTCTTCTACTCAGTTTCTTCTCCCATACTTGCAGTTTGTAGAACTCCCTTCCCCTTACTTACACGATGACAATAATCTTCAAATATTCAAGTGTAATGTCAATCGACATCTGACACCCTGAGCTTGTTCCCCGTCCTTCTCTGTATCCTTTCCTCAAACACGCATCTTTACTCTTGATCTCAATCCTCTGCAACCCCTTGCGTGCTGTCTTGCTTGGGGTTAATTGCTTTAAAAAAATGTCCTTACGATCATATCACGTTGAAACACCGGCTCTCGTTCGATCATCGATGTTAAGCAACGTTGAACTTGTTCAGTACCTAAATAAGTGACCGCTTTGGAATACCTGAAGCAGAAAGTCCCTACATATTGACTCAGCGTGGTAGGGTAATGGCCCATTCCTACCCATGAACGGCAGTAAAAAGCTATGGAGAAAACCTTTCATATGAATGTTATGCATTCTGCCAAACGCCCTACAGAAATATCTGTTAGCTTTATACAACAGCTTTCTCAGATCAATGTGTAATCTGAGTGAGTGAAACTTGTGAATCTTACTGAAGGCCATTCTTCTACAAACCTTGTAGACTGGCGCTATAGAATCCCAAAAAGAAGAATTGTACCAGAAAAGAGAAATCACATCACTTTCGAAAACTAAAATAGATATCACTTGTAAATCGAAGAGAAAATAATGGCGTAAGTTGTTGACATGCCACATATTTCAAACAAACTATTAGGAAGGTTACTTTCTAGATTTATTGTATATAAAATATATAATTTTGCCACAAGACCGAAAATAGGAAGGTAACTCTCTTGATTTATTCTATATAGAATATATAATTGTGGCACAAGGCCGAAATTAGGAAGGCTACTAAACTAGATTTATTGTATATAAAATATATAATTGTGCCAAAAGGCCGAAAATAGAAAGATAATATTCATCAATATTAAAAAGAGTGATAATATCTATTGAACTTGAGAAACTTATTTTCCTGCAAAATTGTTTTAATGGAAAGATTTTATAAATTTCAACTGACACTGGTCGTTCCTCAAATGCTTAATGTTTCGTTATGAGAGGAGGGTTAATATTACAATGACAATATCCATTGCTTCCAACAAAGGACTTTCAGATATAAAGTAAGGTTGAAATCTTCCTTCCAAAAATTACGAACAGTCCGCCCTGACCTTGTAAATTCAACGCAACCGAAAGATATTGAATTAGAATTTTAATTTCTTCCGTATTTCTAGTTCTTCTATCTTCAGATCCTCAGCTTTAAATGTTTTCTCATTTTGTCTTTGACATCTGCAAGATGAACATATCGTAAAATTCATTGATGAATAATTTGAATAAAACACGTTGTCACTCTTTTATAATAAAATTAATTTTACGATTTATTTATACGATTTCTATACATATTATTTTTTCTGAATGGTCATCGGATTCATTCATTTTTTTTCTTACGGCTAGTAAACATCTTTTATAATAGAATTAATTTTACGATTTATTTATACGATTTCTATACATATTATTTTTCTGAATGGTCATCGGATTCATTCATTTTTTTTCTTACGGCTAGTAAACATCTTTTATAATAGAATTAATTTTACGATTTATTTATACGATTTCTATACATATTTTTTCTGAATGGTCATTGGATTCATTCATTTTTTTTCTTACGGCTAGTAAACATCTTTTATAATAGAATTAATTTTACGATTTATTTATACGATTTCTATACATATTATTTATTCTGAATGGTCATCGGATTCATTCATTTTTTTTCTTACGGCTAGTCAACATCTTTTATAATAGAATTAATTTTACGATTTATTTATACGAATTCTATACATATTTTTTCTGAATGGTCATTGGATTCATTCATTTTTTTTCTTACGGCTAGTAAACATCTTTTATAATAAATTAATTTTACGATTTATTTATACGATTTCTATACATATTATTTTTATTCTGAATGGTCATCGGATTCATTCATTTTTTTTTACGGCTAGTCAACATCTTTTATAATAGAATTAATTTTACGATTTATTTATACGATTTCTATACATATTATTGTTTCTGAATGGTCATCGGATTCATTCATTTTTTTTCTTACGGCAAGTCAACATCTTTTATAATAGAATTAATTTTATGATTTATTTATGCGATTTCTATATATATTATTTTTTCTGAATGGTCATCGGATTCATTCATTTTTTTTTTTCTTACGGCTAGTCAACATCTTTTGAGGTATTTAAACCTATATTGAATTGTAAGAATGATTCATTTTTTGCCAGTTGTATCTGCCTATATTTCAGAGATGAGGTATTATGTACACTATTTACATTATTCGGACTACTGTCTTCATCTTTGTCGCCATATTTATTAGAACGTTTTGGCTGAAGAAGGCCAGAGCGTACAACGGCCGAAACGTTGTATTAAATATGGAGATAAAGATGAAAACAATAGTCTGAATAATGTAAATAGTGAGAAAATGTTGCATTAGTATTTGTTTTGTTTTTAATAACAATATCTTTCTTGATACAAGACCTACCAGTTAACCAATATATGGAGAGAGAAGATTGGTTCCTTACCTTTTCCAAGGATATTTGCGCCTAAATAAATGCATCGAATGGAACTAGAATTCGAAACCTGTTCTCCAACTTCGCATTACAGACCGCTATATATTACACCAAACTTATATCGGAGCGGTCTTAGGAAAGCAAAGAAGTAATTTAAAAACACATTATGCATGCCATGAATTTATATAAATGAAAGATTTATTAAAAATTATTGGGAAAAAAACTCAACAATTTCAGTTCCTATTTTATAATTAATTCATTTTTTTTCTTTCAATGCTGCCCGCTTTTTTCATACTCCTCCACTCACAATGGTTTAAATAGTAGAACTTGTATCAGCACATCATTATTATCTTCAAAGATTTCTTAGAATCTAAAACTATTTTCTGGTGTTAAATAACCTACAAAAGGCTGATAATTCACACAAAAATACAAAATCCATCAATCGTTCTCCACATTTTAGGTTTTTTTCTTTAAACCATCTTTATACTCTAGCGTTAACTTAATTGTATCGTCGCCATTTCTAATGATTCCCTTTATTCTGCTTTTGTTCGCCTTCACATTCTCTTCTCAAAAATGGTTACATTCATTTAAGAAGGAACTTCCTTTTTTTTCCTTTTTTTTCTTTTCTTTTTTTTTTTTTTTTTTCATTCTTTCCTGATTTTTATCGCTCTTTCGATCCTGCTCGCTTACCAATAATTGCTCATTTCCTGATTCGGTTATTCTACTTTTCACTATTTTTCAACACTTTCTTCCTTCGTAATATTTCTTTCCTTGTATCAGCTTTTTGGCGGTTGCTTTATCTTCAACAGCAATATTTTGCGAAAGGAAATGCAAATGCCATGACAACCAACAATGACGCATTCTTTTCGGATCATTACATTAGAGCTATTTCGAAATCATTAACCAAACCAAAAGGAATACTATGACTTTGAACAGAACGACTGCTTAATAACATTAATTTTTGTTTGCCTCTTCGTTCCTCTTCAAGCAAAAGAACCCTAAAATCCACCGGCTATTTTATATTCTTTATTTTCTCATTTGGATCTTTTTGCTCTTGAATTTCATTTTTTACTTTTTTATAAAACTTGTTTTTTGTTGTTGCTTTTTTTTGCGGGGGTGGGTTGCATGTGGGATGGCTCGGAATGAGAATTCGGGGAGCAAAGTTCGAATTCCAGTCGAGCACGCTATGTTCACTTACGCGCAAGTAACCCTGGAAAAATATGAATCCATCTCTTCTCCGCTACCGATGCGTTAAATATCAGAGTAGACGAGGCTCTCTAGTCATGAACGGCAACCAGTCTTGTAAAATAACAAAACCGATTCAAAATCATATGTGGTTCTTGGATCAAATCGATAATTACTCTTTGGCAAAGTGTAGCACACGGATGCTCTCACTCTCTGCCATGTTTGCGTAATGTGATTTACTTGCTGGATAATAAATGAGAATTATTCCGAGTCAGACGTAAACAGTAAGAACACATAGAGTAGCACCATGTGCCACCTAATTTACGCGCGACTGAAGCACCTGTTTTAACACATGAGGCATTAGGGAAGGTCGATTTTGGAAGCGTGGTATTTCACTCAATCTGAAAGTTGGGGTTTGACATGATAAATAATGAGAAATTATTTTTTTCCAAAACCTTACAGTCATTTTTTTTTTTATGAAGCGAGTTTAAAGATTAAGTTCATGTTCAAAGTCATAACGTTGGAATTTCATTAAAGTGATCAAAGAAAACCTTATAGTTAGCTTTATAAAATGTATTATTTACTGAAGCTTCACAAATTTTATATAGACAAGATGTATGTACAAGCACATTATTACTAAATCATTGTGCCATCAAATAAGACCTAAATTTAATTTAAAGAGAAATTATACTTAACAATTTAGCTACATTACGTTGTAATATGTTATAGAGTGTAGTAGTTTTAGTTTCATAATTAAAATTCAAGTTTTAATATATTTTCCATTACTGTATCTAATGCAAAATATATCAACTTTATTTGGATTTATTCTTGATATAGTAAAATTTTGAAATCAGTTTGTAAGCCAAAACCTACGGGAGTTAGGTATTTCTCTACATTTTTCAGACTCTTTTTAAAAATAAATGCTCAAAGATTAGCAAAATCTATTAATCTTGTAATCCTAGGAGGGCAGGTTTTTTGTTTTAATCATAAAATCTTCATAAAATCCTTTGTTTTAATTCTTATATGCTTCACCTATGTTTTTTTGGTGTGGAGCCGCTATCACGAAAGGTTATTAGGAAAAGTTATATTACATCATCAACCTTTATTAAATCAATTCTTAACGAACCTAAAGTAAGTTTATCTACAAAACTGATGATCACGTAAAACCGCCCTCTAATAAACAAGCGGACAGCCACCAAACATAAATAATGCCTACTAAACGCACATACACACACTTAGGTATGTACATTATCATCCGAATGTCACATAGATTCTCAGTAATGGATGCGCACTGCTGATAAGTCTGAGAAAGGTCGAAAGGGCCAGCCAATGTTTTATGCATTCTGTTGAGGTTTCTTATTTTAGAAATATATATACACGAATTCATTCGCTAGCTCAATCACTAAATCTACTTTCAAAATTTACCACGGCGAACTGTAGAAGTCATAACATAATTTACCTCTTAGAATGCAAACTATGCCAGAAACAATATGTAGGAAAATCTGAATGGTCCTTTCACTACAGAATTAATAATTATTGCAATCGAATTAAGTCGACTCCCCATGAAAGATTATTACCTGTGAAACAACAT